GGGGCTCTCTGTTCCTCGTCTCTGTGGCCTGTTCTCTGCAGGTCCTAACAGGCAAGTCATCTTTCAGTCTGGTACATTAATGGCTTATCCATTATGGGCTTTGATAAACAGGCTGAACATGTACGGTATTGCGTGGTCCTGCCTGCTGAAAACATGAGGAGAGAGTACTGTCCAGCCTGGCGTAGCTGTGGCTCCTGGACTGGCTTTGCAGTCCAAAGTTCAAAGGGTAAGAGCATAGGGAGGAGGTGGGGGGTCAGGTAGGATTAACATATAAAGGTACCTTTTCGAGTGTCAAAGTGTGAATTATCTCAGCATTGTTCTTTTGTCAGTTTTGGACTGATTTTAGAGACTTCATATTCAAAAACATAGTTTTTAATGATTTTTTGGGGTTTTATTTATAATTTTGTTAATTATTTTTTTTATAATTGGAGTGATACAGACAGTCATTTGTCATGCCATTCCATTCATGAGGCCCAGGGTTCCTCTTCTAGTGCTCACATACGGAAGTTTAAACACCAGCATTAGCAAAATAGCTGGTAGGCTCCAGCGCGTTGTTTTGAAAGGCCCGTCTTCCGGCAGACGCAGATGACACCATTTATACAAAGTTAATTGGAAGAGGAAACGTTGGAAGAATACAGACATGCCTATGATGACACCAGCCAAGCCCTCATTCCCCCGAGTAAATAAATGGCGTTGAAAAGCGTCTGAATGCCATTGTTCCCCGCACCAGGAATCCCAACCGCTCGTCCTGAGGTTATGTCTGCAGCAGAAAACTTGAGCTATAGTTGACTGATAAAGTATAATAGGGGCCCACATCCCGAGCAGTGCCCCTGAAAATCTTGATAATCCCAGGAACAATGCGTCGGACGTGTAGACAAAGGTAAATCATTGTCTGCCCCACAGAATCCAACAACCGCACTGTCAGCCGGGGGGAATCACGGTTCCATCAACACCGCATTCCACAGAACGTTCATGACATCGTCTATGGCTGGCTGTGTACACAGGTGACGTCTCCGCCATTGCCACAACAGATACCGAGCGCTGCGTACTGATGTACCCGGAGAACCTTCCTAATAGATTGGGCTGCTCCCTGTCTTTGGAAGATCAGACCTGACTTCAGCCTAAAGAACACCAATGCTAAGAAGGAGGAGGAAGATGGCATATTTTGGAAGCATTAGGTTTCCCCTATTTATGACTTCGATGGTCATTGAAGGTTACATGTCCAGCCAGTGGCGTAACAATCACCATAGCGACCCAGACGGCCGCTACGGGGCCCGGGGCACAGGGGGACCGGGCCAGGACATCCCCCTGATGCCGTGCGGGCCGCCTGGGTCGCTATGGCATCTCAGGCTGCTGGCTGTCACTGGCAGCTGTGAGGAGGAACGTGTCGCTGTTAGATCACCAGCAACCTGTCAGTGATCTGTGCAGCGGCGCGTTCCTCCTCACAGCCGCTGCTGAGTCAGTGACAGCCAGCAGCTGTGGAGGAGGAAGGCTGGGCCCGGCGCCAGAAGCAGATGAGGCGAGGCCCGGTGACGGAAGAGGCGGGGCCTGCCATCGACCATGGAGGCGGATCAGGGCTGACAGGTAAGAGGTGTGCAGCCCACCGAGACCCTGCAGAGCCCATCATAGAGAGACTATGGTGGGCTCTGCACGGTCACTCTCAGGTGGGCTCTGCAAGGGGCATAACCAGAAATCACAGGGCCCCATACAACATTTTGCGATGGGGCCCTGTGATTTCTAGTTACGCCCCTGTGACCAGACCACGTAGCAGTGTCAGTATGTGTCTTTTAACTTAAGCACTACAGCCCGGGACTCTGTATATGGAACAATGTTTACAACTGGCAAGCAGTCATTGATTAGCGTGGTCACCTTACCACTCTGACCAATGGGAAGCACACCTGAGAATGGTCAGGTGACCACGCTGGCCAATGACTGCTCACCATATGTGCGCATTATTCCATATACAGAGTACTGGGCTGCAATGCTGTGTCCTGTACAATAGCTGACGCGGGGGGAACAGCGGCTCCCCCTAAGTTATGACTACTGGTGGGGGGCCAGAGGGGACTAATTTGAGGGGGAGATTTCACTTCCCCACATTTGCTGGAAAACTGGAATTACCCTTTAATTTATGAGAATTAGGGATGCACCGATACAAGTATTGGTATCAGTGCCGATACTGAGTATTTGGGTGAGTACTTGTACTCACCTAAATGCTCCGATATCTTCCCCGATACCGGAACTTCCAGTGATAGGAAGATTTCTTCTGACCGGCAGTGCCGTAGGGGAACATGGAGCCGGCTTCCCGGGCGATCAGGAAGGCAGGCTGCAGGTAATGACCCGTCATCAGCTTCCCAGGAAATCAGGAAGCCAGGCGGCGTGTCATTGCCCGCTGCCCGTCTTCCTGATTGCCCGGGAAGCCGGCTCCATGCCAGCGGAAGCACCGGTATCGGTACTAGGTATCGGCGGGTACCGACTGCAAAATATCGGTACTTGTACTCGATACCGAAAACCAGTATCGGTGTATCCCTAATGAGAATAGTGCACCAATAATATCTTTTAAAAAGTGCAACTTTTCGCACAAAAACCCCCAATGTGCGCCGAATAAATAATGAGCGGAAAAATTAGTTTGACAATATTTGCCGCAATGGAGGCGTGAAAAATGCACCGAGATGGCAGAAAAAAAATCTGGATCAGTATGGATGTCCCCGTTGTGCCATCCATTTCCATCTTGCAATGGAGGAAAAAAAAATGGATTTACCGAACCCGTGTTGGTCTATGCGGAGCAGGATCTAAATCAGGGGTAGCAAACCTCCGGCCCTCCAGCTGTGGTGAAACTACAAATCCCATGATGCATCTCTCCCCGGGAGTCATGTCTGTGGCTGTGAGAATCTTGCAATGCCTCATGGGATTTGTAGTTCCACCACAGCTGGAGGGCCGGAGGTTTGCTACCCCTGATATAAATGGACGCGTGTCCGTTTACCCGCGATCCATCACGATCAGGTCCGCCAAAACGGAACTCTGTTCCACCTCAGGTTCTGATGAAGGGGGCGTGCCCCTGAAACGCGTAGACCTTTTTAAAACATACGGGAGCAGAGGACGCTGATTTGGAGATCCCCTCAGACTTCCCCTGCTGGAGATTTTATATTTTATCGTTTCCTTTTACGCTTATGATCATTGGCTTTCGTGTAAGTACATTTTCACTTGCGTGTTGTACTCATCAAATAAAAGTTTTACACTATGGAGGCGCTCTGTGTTGCTTTTGTTTCCCAGATCGATGGTCGTTGTTGACCAGTGGGAGCTGCCTCTATGGTGTACCAATGAACTTTACAGCCGGATTTCTCTGCAAACCGGGGGCGCCGGTATTGCTTTTTTCAGGAACTCTGTTCCGTTTAGTTTTCCGGACCTGGCCAGAGTTGGGGGAAATCATGAATCTGATCATGGCACGGCCTCTGGGAGTCATGCCTGTAACTATCAGTCTTGCAATGCCTCATGGGACTTGTAGTTCCACAAACTGGAGGGCCGGAGTCGCCCTCCCATGCCACAGACTTAACATCGGCCTTCCGATCAGATCTGCCTAATCAGAACACCCGTCTCAAAGGGGCCTTCAGGTTTTTTCTTTTACTAGATTATTGTTTCTGTCTGTGTTCATGTTACAGAGTTTCCTTCACTTCCTGTCTGGTGCAAACAGTGTGAGCAGGACAGGAAATGAAGGGAAATCTCTCTTACGGAGCCCCAGCCAGCAGTGAAAATCAGACGGGGGTTCTAAATCCATTTCAATCGAAAGTAGAAAAAAAAGGTTTGGGCTTTTTAATGCATATTATTGGTGTTAAAACTGAACTCCAGGGCAAGGAAATATTGTCCTCATGCAAGAGTCATGTGTACCTGTATTATTCCTGAATCTTGGTGAACTTTGTGTATTTCTTCCAAATCTGTGCAGTAATCCAATGTGACACCGCTCACTGCTGCTAATCTTTTTATTGAAAGATTCAAGCAACTTTTATACAAAGGTAACAAAACATAAACGTAGTGTAAACTGTACAAAAATCAAAAAAATTGTGTAGGGTAACTGGTCTGGTATCCGCCCCTCCTGTAATGAAGACTGATTACTGCTGCTCTCTCTCCTTGTGCAGCGTGACTGGTCTTGTCTCCGCCCCCTCCTGTAATAAAGACCGCTCACTGCTGCTCTCTCTCCTTGTGCACAGTGACTGGTCTTGTCTCTACACCCTCCTGTAATAAAGACCGGTCCCTACTGCTCTCTCATTGTGCAGGGTAACTGGTCTTGTATCCGCCCCCTCCTGTAATGAAGACTGATTACTGCTGCTCTCTCTCCTTGTGCAGGGTGACTGGTCTTGCCTCCGCCCCCTTTCTGTAATAAAGACCCGTCACTGCTTCTCTCTCCTTGTACAGGGTGACTGGTCTTGATTCCGCCCCTCCTGTAATTTTCAGCAGCAAGTCTGTAGTGGGTGGGGCCTGCTGGGCTCCTCCCAAAGCTCTGCTCTCTGCACAAGCTATGTACAGTACAGTGATGATGCCACTGCTACTCTTACAAGGTAATATCTGGGTTTATAAAAGGCATGTTGTGCACACCAATCGGATTTATACATTTTGCGGCTACCAATGAAAATATATCAATGAAAGTTTCTGAGCCCGGAGCTTTAATAACAAGAGTCGACTTACACCGTTCTCCTTGGCTGATCGGGCGACTTGCAGCAGGACATCTTCCCCCACGAACGGACGGACGGCATCGTGGATGATCACCACCTCCGGCTTCTGCAGCGCCGGCCCCAGCGAATGATCTTCTAGGAAAGCTCGGAGCCCGCTGAGGATGGACCGGTGACGCGTCAGCCCGCCTTCCACCAGAGTTATACGTTTGTGTCCATATTTGTGAACGACGGACTTCATCAAACCGACGCTTTCCGCGGCTACGACCACAACGATGTCCGATATCCAGCCGACTCTGCAAGAAGGAGAAAGAACATTTATAGGAATGGGAGCATCACATGATCAGTCATATTACAGAGTCGTTAATCAGCTGTACAGTCCAACTACGTATGTGATGGAGGATTTGTAATACTGTTCAGCCGCTCTTCACTCACCTCTGCCAGGTCCCTGACCTCACTTATCACCTATTACAGTTAAAGAATACACTTTGGTCAGGAACCGCCCCTGACTGTGATTGGACACTGAAGGAGCAGCAGACTACTGATGAAAAAAACGCCGCATCTCCGTCATCTGCACCGAGCACTGCCCCTCCGCTCGGACACACAGACCGCACCGGGGAGGGGGTCCCGTGAATAGGCTGCACCGATTGGTTCCCGGGAATAGGCCGCGCCGGAGGGATCCCGTGGATAGGCCGCACCGGAGAGCTCCCGGGGATAGACCGCACCGGAGAGCTCCCGGGGATAGGCCGCACCGGAGAGGTCCCGGGAATAGGCCGCACCGGAGAGGTCCCAGGGATAGGCTGCACCGGAGTTATCCGGGGGACAGGCCGCGCCGAAGAGGTCCCGGGAATAGGCCGCACCGGAGGGACACCTAGGTCGGAGCTGAGGAGAGGCCTGCATGTCCCATCCCCCTCTATATTCCCTATACACAGGGGGCTCAGTTATAGATGGAGCTGAGCTAACCGCTGCAATTGTGCGTTTGTCGCAATTTTATTGCGTTCAAATAGCTGCAAACCGCAATTCGAGCCAATGCGTTTTTCTACGTTTGCACTTTTGTGGGTGCGGCGGGTCCTGTTGATTTTTGTTCACGTTGCAGACACATCCCTGACGCACAAGAACACAATTGTGCATTGTATTTCTACCGGTCTACACCAACCCAGCACAACACACGCGGTGCACTGTCGAAAAATACGAACAGCGTCTATTGTCCGTGGAACTTCAACGTATGAAAGTGCATTACGGAGAACTGCGTTCTGGCGAATGGGCTCCCAAAGCACCTGAGTGTGGATAAAACCACACCGGGACCTTTTTTGGAACCTAAAACACGGTAGTTGGCATGATGTAGTGCAGGTGCTTTCCCTTAGTGTGTTGGGGTGCAATTCAAAATGAATGGCACCGCGTTGTGTGAACGCAGCCTGAGACGCCTTTAATGACACGTGGCCCAGGGGGGACCCAGAGCAATGACACACTGCTACTTGGTGGTCCCTGAACACTGACACCTGGGGGTCCAAGAACACTGATATTTGGGGTCTTAGAATAATGAAACACTGACACTTAGGTGTTTCAGAGTCCCAGAGCACTGACCAGGGGTGTGGACATTTTTGAAAAAACTACTTGTCCAAGGGCTAAAGCAGGGGTCAAATCTACTTGTCCTTCATGACAATCTACTTGTCCCAATGCCAAAAAAAAAAAGTTTAAAACTAGGGATGCACCAATACCAGTTTTTGGGTATCGAGTATGAGTACCAATATTTTGCTTTCAGTACTCACTGAGTATCGGAGTTCTGTGTAGTTCCTGACAGCCGAGACAGGTGGCGATCACAGCGCCACAGTCTCAGTGATAGCACAGAGCAGACGAAGAAAGGAAGTTCTTCGTCTGCTCTGCGGGCTCTATGGTGAGCTCCCGTGCCGTGGTGACAGGTCCAGCAGAGGAGCGGGGGACCCCAAAAACCACAGCGCGGGGGGGTGGCGGACAGGATCGCCGATTCTCGCTTCATACAAGTGATCTGATTAGATCACTTGTATGAAAACGAGCGGCGGCTCCACAATATGCATTTAGCTCTGCTTGTCCGGAGCAGGGCTGAATGTATTAAAAAACTACTCGCCCGGCGCCCGAAACTGCCTGTCCCGGGCGTTGGGCGATAGGAATTCCACACCCCTGACTGACATTTGGGATTTTAGAACTATGGGGTACTGACTTGATTTCCCAGAAAGGAAGGCCCGAAGTGAGAAAAAAAACAATCCCAGAACAATGATACACCAATACTTGAGGATCCCAGAACAGTGAAATCTGGACTCTTGGGGCCCCTTAACATTGACACTGAAATTTGGAGTTTCCCAGATTAAAGGAGAACTATGGGGTTAAGGCTTTTCCCCATAGTTCTCCTTAGGGTAACGGGAGGACACAAACTAGCGTCCTCCCGTCACCCTAGGCTCAGTATACTGCGAGCTGTAGCTCGCACAAATAAGATACATTGTTGTTCATAGTTAAAGGATAACTATGGGGTCAGGGCTTTTCCCCATAGTTCTCCTTAGGATAACGGGAGGACACAAACTAGCGTCCACCCGTCACCCTAGGCTCAGTATACCGCAAGATGCTGCTCGCGCTATACTGTGACGCCGCAGCTGAAGCGGATCCCGACAATTGTGTCGGGATCCGCCCAGCTGCGTGACTGACAGCTGGCTCTGCCTATCTAGAGGCAGAGCCAGCTGTACCCCCCTCATACTTCTCCTTTAATGACATTTTCCTGCACATAGCATGACGCCCCCGACAAGCCTTTTTCATTCTAAAATGGCCGACTGCAGATAACAATCGGCTGCTTGTAGTTTCAGGCCGGATCGCTCCTAATTTGGGGAGCAGTGATTTATAATAGGTTCCAGGATCCTCTCTACATATTTTAGCCTCACTGGTCCTTTAAGCCGTGTAGGTGTATCGGCTGGAGTGACGTCAGAGGAAGTAAATCATCTAAACACATCTTGCAGTTATTAACCGCTATGGAAGCCAAACAATAATTGAGTGCGCTGACATAATAAGAAATGTCACATTGTAAGTTAACATATTATCAGAATAAAACTCCGCCGATGATGCAGCGCAGGCCGAAGCCCTGATTGTTTTTCCAGCCGCCGAGATGTTAAACATGACTTGTATTGTTTTATGGACCTTAAAATGTCTCCCATTAGTAACTCAATAAGTTTCCTAATGTGCACCTGATCTGAAGTCCTACTTCCTCCCTGCCTGTCCCCGGGACCGCATTAGTATATTCATTTTGTCATTTATTTCTGTCCAATTTCCTTTAACTTTTAAAAATGAACTCGTATTCCATCTACATTAAAGTGTTATTAAACCCTTGTTAACATAGAGAGGGGAGTTTATCAAAACTGGAGCAAACAGAATCTGGAGCAGTTGCCCATGGCAACCCAGAGCCGTAGCTAGCTCCTTTTGCGCCCGAGGCAAGAACAGAAAATTGTGCCCCCCAACAGACATGTTATGTCACCCTATGCCGCGCACGCACGGCGTCATGTGACATCATGCGCCCCGCCTCCAGGATGGCGGCACCAAATAGCATAAAATTTGTTTCGTTTGATGAGACTAATGGAAACATTTTTAGTTTCTGTTCATTTAGTCTTTTCACGTGTCTAATAGTGTGTGTGTGTGGTGGGCGGGGGGGCGGCTTCTGGGGGCTTTGAGGAAATGTCAGGGGTCTAAACAGACCTCTGACATTTCCCTTTTGAAATAGAAAAAGAGATTGAGGACACAGAGTCCTCTGCCCATGCAGCGGGGAATGCGAGGAGAAGCTATGTTGGACGTCTGGCGCCCCTGTTGCCAATGGCACCCTGTTGTCGCCATGGCAACAGGGGCGAGGGGGCGCAGCCAGGCTGGCCCTGGCTACGCCCCCTCTCAGCTGCGCCTGAGGCGTGTGCCTCACTCGCCCCATGGTAGCTACAGCCCTGTGGCAACCAATCACCTTCTCTCTTCAGTTTGCTCAGGTAAGATTGCAAATCTGCTGCAGTTTTGATATATTCCCGCCATTGTGTATATCACAGAATACCTCATGTAGTTCTATTCTTGCTGTCTCCTTTGTGTTTGTAGCACTATCTATGCCCTTGGTATTTCCACCCATAGGGTGGTGGCTATGCTGTCAGGCAGGGTCTCCCGGTGCCTCATCGTAGCCCCCCTGATGTGTGCACTCCCAGCTAAAGGTTGTGAGAGAAGGGAACAACCGAAGCTCTACCGACGAAGACCGATTTGTTGGTACCCTCCCAAGGAAGAACTCGCAATTTTCTCAGAAATTACTTAAAAACTGACCAACGTACTTGGGATCCATCATTGTTTATTCTATTTTTAATAAAAATCAGGCTTTGCTTTATTTTTTTTTGATCCAACAAATTATTTTGAGTAAGAAAACAAATAAAAATGGCATGGACAAACATGATGGCACCCCCACCTAATATTTTGTTGCACAACCGATAGAGGAAATCACTGCAAACAAGTGATTTCTGTTGCACTCAATCAGTATTATATATAGTGTCAACAGTTTGCTCAGCGCTTTATAAAATGGGACTTCTGCACCTGGCAAGAGGTAGTTTGTAGGGATGCACCGATACTAGTATCGGTATCGGTGCCGATACCAAGTATTTGGGTAAGTACTCGTACTCGCCCAAATGCTCCGATACCTAGCACGAGTACTTCCTGTATCAGGAAGCCGGGCAGCGCATCATTACACGCTGCCCGGTTTCCTGATTGGCCATGCTCCATGCTCTCTCGTCACTTGTGATGAAAGAGCATGGAGCCGACTTCCCGGCCAATGAGGAAGCCGTGTAGCGTGCAATGACGCGCTGCCCGGCTTCCCGATCGGTCAGGAAGCTAGCGAAGCCGGGCGCCGTGTAATGACGCAGCGCCTGGCATTCTGATTGGCCGGGAAGCCGGCGTCATGCTCCCTCGTCATCTCATGAATCATAATATTAAGAAAGTGACCTTAAAGCATTCGTTTGTATTGCTTTAGAAAAAATGTGACCTGTCCCTTTAAGAAAAAGTATCGGTAATTGGAATCTGTGAGTACTTGATCAAAAGTATCGGTACTCGTACTCGGTCTTAAAAAAGTGGTATCGGTGCATCCCTAGTAGTTTGAATGACTCTTCTAGAACAAACTGCTCCAGCTGTCTCAGGTTTGAAGGGTGTCTTCTGCAGATGGCATGTTTCAGCTCTTTCCATGGTAGTCCCATAAGAATTCACATCAGGACACATAGAAGCCACTTTAGAATAGTCCAATGTTTTTTTCTTAGCCATTCTTGAGTCATTATCCTGTTGGAGGACTCATGAGTTTGGGAGCTGAGACAGAGCTCTCTGACCTGGGGCTGCTGGATTTTTAGTTCCTATGAAGGTGGAAGATCAGGAGGCAGAGTGGGAACACCCAAATGTCCCAGGAGGGTGGGAGAAGAGCCAGGCATCATACATGGCCATTAGTAAAGAGCTGAACACCCCCCGTGTTCGGTTCGATTTAGAACATGGAAAAAGTTCGAACTCAATGCAAGTCTATGGTGCTAGAACTTTGAAAATCAATTGTCCCCATTTTGAAGCCTTAGGCCCCGTTCACACTGAGCGATTTATCGCGCGGTAATTCCCGCGATATCGCGGCTATTTACCGCGCGATATCGCTCTCCAATGCTTGGCAATGGGGCAAAGGGTCCTGCTGTCGCGGGTCGTGCGTCGCTACAGCAGGACCCTTTTTGGAGCAGGTTTTGCCGCGATTCAATGCAAGCATTTGCGCGAAATCGCGCGATATCACGCAAAATGCAAATCGCGCGAATTGCGCAGTGTGAATGGGGCCTCAGGCCCCATTCATACACGAATCGGCCTGCACGTACAGCTCTGTGCTGCGTGCGGGGCCGTACCAAGTAGCT